TATGAGGCAAGTGAGATAAAGGAGTACTGTGCTCCGTAGGTGTACGGACAAACATCACAACAAAACTCCTGCAAATCGACCTCATATGGCCTTTGGACCATTGCAAACGACATCAGAAGGTCGACAAACCCCCAAGCCCCGAATTTCTGTCCAAACGGACCTTTTTGGGCCCTACTTTCCAAAAATGGGTGGTTTCAATAATATTCAAGATTTCACAGCTTAAATCAGTTAAAGTAAAATCCTCCTACAACTCAAAAATGAGAGAACTTGACACCCTTAGATCTCTCTATCCGCAAGCCGGATCCAGCTGAAATTTGGACATGTCTTGCTCCTCGAGCACGATCTTCTAGTATGGAGCTCGCATATGATTTGTCGACCCGATCGAAAGATATTCTAGAGAGAAGTCCGCAAGTTTCCTAGCTGATGCAAAAATAAGTTTGTGTGACCTCTTCGCGCTCTAACAATCATAATTGGATACCCAACTGCCGGATCGAGCTCGAACTTGGTGCAATTCGATTGTGACTCGATTATCTTTGATTTGACATAAGAAAAGTCGCGATCAGGATTCGAAACAATACCCATCCAAGGCTCAAAATTGGGCACAATTTTCAAGATGACGGAAAATTGATTTTCGGGCGACTTGCAAGAATCATAACCTTGTCAATCGAAGGTCATGTCACACGATTCTCTATGCAAAACAATTGTGTCTGCATCCCCTTTGCTATACCAACAAAAGAATCACAATGAACTCGGAATTTTTGGAGTAATCATATGAGGAACACAAGAAAAGTTTTCATGCAAAACCATAAAACCCAAAAACATCAAACATCAAGAACTGCAAATCTCCATGGTTCTTTGCAAATCATACACTAAAACGTTCGTGGCGAAACGATCTATGTTTTTCCGATGATACTTCGTCCGTTTTGGTGCAAAAAAGCCAAAACCAAGACCCCATGCCATGTGGGTGGGAAGAGGCCGTTTTTGAGGGACCTATTTGGCAATTTTGAACTTTATGCATGGCGTTTTTGGTCAATTTTTCTTGGCATGAATTTCCATTGTAGTTTTTGTAATTTTCTTTTTACTCAATTCCTTAGGGATTTGAGCATCCACCCTTGTTTGAAGGGTAGCTCTATATAAACCCTTAACTCATGTAACTTAATGAGAGCTCTTTTTACCTTGAGGTTGATGAAACTCTATCACTTTGAAAGAAGGAGAGAGAAATATTTTATTAAAGAGTTCTTACCCCTAACCTTAGCCCTAGGTTAGTTTCCCTTAGTTAGGCTAATCAAACCTTAACCCACCTTGGTCAAGTCTCTACAATTAACCAAGGGCCACCCTAAACCCTAACCTAAGCCCACTTCCTTAACCCAACCACTTACACCATATCCTATCCTACTCCGTACCCTACCCTTTAACCTATACCATACCCCATATCTAATCATATACCCCATCCTAGTTCATACCTACCATACTACCTAGTCCCCACCATACCATACTCCTTAGCAGACACCCATTGTACTCCATACATCACACTCTACCCAACTACCCACCTGGAACCATAATATAATCCCCACATTCACCCAACCCACTTAGCCTAGGCTAGTTTGAGAGGGCGCTCCTATGTAGCGGCGCTGGTACAAGCTACGGCCTGGCAGACCATGTTGACAGATCCCTCGTGGTGCATCAACTAGTCCAAGCACCTTTTCTTCTGGTCGTCTACCTTCCCCTAGGGGAGGTGCTGCCGGAATTCTATAGGATTCCGGTTCGCCTCTCTTATAGCTACATACCCAGTAGCTGTCTACCCACACCTAAAGTCGAACCAAAACCAACTCGAACAAAACCCAAGCCGAACTGAACCTCATCACATAGGACACCAATCATCATGAGGGTGCAACCTTGGGGACACTGACGCGGTTTGGAGTGTGGAGGAGTCAAGTCAAACCACGTCTGCGAGGGACGTTGAGGGCTTTCCGCGGCAACCTTATGTCGGGATCTAAGAGTGTTAACTGCCCAGACGCGTCCAAATCCAACCCTACATCCAAAGTAAGTTCTACCTCGCATTTTAAATTCATTGGTTAGCCATCGCATCGCACCGCATGCTTATCCAAGAACACAACGCATGAGCACCGGGGTCGCATGCACCTACGCACACAAGGAAAAGGGGGCGCGGGTCAGACGACCGCTGGGGCCAGCCAACCAACTGGCGACTCCACTGGGGACGCGACACCCTTTCATTGGTTCTTCTTGTTTACACTCTCACTGCGCTCGCTCTTCAAGCTGCACACTCTGTCCATGGAGTCCATATGCTCCTCATATGTCCAGGTTGAGGATTTTATAGTCCACGTTCCCAATGGTTTGGCTTCAGGGGATAGGGTCCCTAACAAACCCGTCACCCCCATCCTTTTCGTGCACGATGCTCAAGCACCAGCACTCGGGCCATGGCCCTTCCCAAGTTGAGGGATGGCCTTAAGACTGCCCCTCTTCATGCACTCTATAAGGCCGGTGACCAAAGCTGTCAGCCCATCTCTTGCAAGGGGGTGGCCCTAAGACCACCCCTTCTTCCTTGTCACCCAAGGCCGGCAACTTAGCCGCATGGCCCCACTCCCTCTGTCAGGGGTGGACCCACGGCCACTCCCATTTCCCCTCACCGCAAGGCTGGTGGCCTAGCCATCAACCCGTCATCCTGAAGGGGCGGCCAAGCCGCCCCCTTCACTCACTCAAGGCCGCCGGCCCCTCATCCTCAAGGGGCAGCTAGGCCGCCTCCTTATCTCACTCTCATGATCCTTCTCTCCCTCTTGTATGGCCGGGGGCTTAGCCTTTGACACTCTACTCCCAAGGGGTAGCACTAAGACCACACCCCTCACTCACTCTATCGAGGCCGGTGACTCTACTCTCAAGGGGTGGCACTAAGGCCACCCCCCCCCCTCCACCCCTCACTCTATTGAGGCCAGCGATCTAGTCACTGGCCTTTCTCCCCCTCTGAGGGGTGGCCCCAAGGCCACCCCCTACTCTCTACTTCACAAGGCCGACGACCTAGCCACCAGTACTATACACTTCAAGGGTGGCCCTAAGCCCACCCCTACTCTTCATACACATTCCACTCCACGAACAAACACTAATGCATCTCACACACCATGCCGGTGCCCACCCGGTCTTGAAGCACTCAAAAGTGGTTCGAAAGCTGCACCTTCTCCTTAAAACATCTCTATGATCGTCCTTGTGGGCTTCGAGGGTGATGTCGACGTCTCAAGCCCACCAATACCCAAACTCATACAACTTACACCCACACACCCCACTATGGGTCTCCTCCTCCGATGGTGCATGGGATCAAGGTCTTTCTCAGATCTTTAGAGTATGGGAAACCTTAGGCTATCAACCCTTTCAAATCAGAGAGTAATAGTAGAACTATAGGCTAGGTCTCACTACCTAGTATGATGGACTACGTCTCAATACCTAGGCTTGGGGCATGGCCCTCTTTTCTTTTCTCAAAGATAGCTCTATCTTAGAGAGGCTAGAGGGGGCGAGATAGATCTGTAGAGAGAATGGAGTGTCAATCTTAGGGAGAAAGAGAGAGCTCAAGGGTGAGAGGTGTAGAGAAAGTGTAAAGATTTGGCCCCTATAGACTTTCTCTAGAGTTAAGGTTTCTAAGGGTTAGCCATCCTTATGGAGATTTTACCAGGAGAATTGTGGGGTGAGATATAATGAGTCATACAATCCTTAGATCAGTCATCATGATTCAAAGGAAGGTATTAGAATCTTATCTTTCAACTTCCTTAACCTAATCTCATCAAATAATATTAATATGAAAAAAATATTGTACTTGCCTTTCTTTTCTATAATCTTTTTATACATACTTTAACTTGAAAATCAAATCGCATAATTTTCATAAATTTCCTTTCTTGTTTCAATCAAAATCTTTGGGAAACACTTTCTATAAAATTTCAATCAAAAGTGCATGGCTTCTTTTACAAGTGCACACATCCTTTCCTTCTCACATAGGTTGCTTAAATGTTCTGCTGGTCTTCAACAGCAGCCTTTGCAAGAGAGAAACTCATCATGGAGCCATTAAGCATTATAGTACATCTTTAACACATAATAGCTTTGTTTAACAAAGCTATATTAAGGAATAAAGCCTTGCGGGATTGCATCTCCAACTTTTTGACAGCCTCTTTGAGATGGAATGTGTAATTGTCAAAGTAATTGTCAAAGCAAACAATTAGTCCAAGTTGTAAATGAACCAACATTTGCAATAGACAAAAAGGTAGAAACCTTACAATTTTTCCTACTTATCACTACAAACTAACCTTACTCATTGCATCCAATCCATGCAAACATCCACAAATAGTCCAAGCCTGCCCGATTATATGTTTCCCTCTCAAAAGCTAAACATGGTTAAAGAGTACAAAGAAAAACTAGTGATACTCATGAATAATGATACCCCGAGGGTTTATATACAATGAAAGAAATGACTGCACAAAATAACCTAGATGCCCTTGCAATAATGTCTATAAATGAGACTCAAATCATTACATAAATATCCTGATTATACACTATGAGGAAGAGAACAGCACCCCTAGACATTCAATCAATAAGAAAATCTAGTATTTCAATAACACACAAAATATATTGAAGGAGATTGCAAATTCATTCAAAGCATTATGTCCAACATCATCAAAATACTGCACATAAAAAACTGAGGACCAAGTAGCAGGAAGTATAGACTGACGGTATACTTTAGGAAAGTTAGGCACTAGGGATGTACATGAATCAAATAGAGAGGATGTTTTGAAGATATACTGCAAAGGCAACATGTTAGGCTCCAGGGATGTACATGAATCAACTAGAGAGGATGTTTTGAAGATATACTGCAAAGGCAACTTTCCAGACAAATATTAAGCTGAGTGTGATTTCTTAGCTTTCATGTAGTTTAACTTCAGTTTACTAAAATCATTACAGGAAAATAATATCACGGAAGGAAAAAGTAATTTCTGAAAAATCACCTCACAGAATGTCCAACGAGTCTTCGGATATCAGCAATTCTTTCTTCATCTTCACATGTAACAAAGACAACTTTTTCCTGCAATTTATATTCAAAACGTCATCATTTGTAAATCTTATAAAGACCTATAGGTGAAGAAGGTCTTCAATATGCAATGGATATGAGACCTACTTGCCGAGCCCTAACACCTAAATGAGATAGGTGAGGGAGTTCCTGCAAAAGCACCACCCCTGCAATGTTGCTTCCAGCAGCCTTCACCTGATCAAATAAATCCATATATCACATGAAAAGATGAACATGCACCAAGGAAATATAGTATTTTTGCAAAGGCATTAACAAAAAGATAGGCCAATAATATCACCTCTTCATCACCATCAGCTCTGTTTACAAGTAGAATGACAGGCTCCGTGGATGATGGTAGAGAACCAGGAATTATACTTTCAACCTATTATGCGTACATCAAAGCGTTTCTCTGTAAGTTAAAGAAATCAGGTACAGCCATGTTTTGATATGTCTACCAACTAAAGAAACATTGGAAATTATTCTAATGTTCAACTAATCCTTGACCATCATGAAACATTTTCATTTAGACAACCAGTGATGCCAGCTACACCCGTTCTTAAAGTAATAAATAGTAATAATAGATGAATATATCTGATAAATTCTGTATTAACATCCATTATGAGAAATTCGGACATGCTGCATCATGCACTAAAAATAGCAAAAGAAAATACCTCTCGAAGGGTTCCAACTGCCATCCCGTTAACCAATATATCCCAACCTTGTGATCCTAATGTAGTCCTTAGTGCTTTCAAAAGAAGGGTGCCGACTTTCGACACCTGAAAAACAACACTGCAGAAGACATTTGAGATTGCGAGCATTAGAACAGTTCAATAAATAACATCAATTTGAAAAGTTATATAGATAAAGAACAAAGTTATCATTCAAGAAGGAACCACAATACCCTGCTCGGATTTCAGCCTCAGTGTATGTTCTCACAGTATTCTCGGGAATGCCCAAGAAATTTCCTAACTTCTGCAGAGCCAACAAAAACATTCAATATCGCAACAATGTACTCTTCATCAGAATTAAATTTTTTTTTTTTAATATTTACAAGCAGCATTTAAAATTGATTGGTTCTGGATGACAAACTTGGGCAACCCAAGTCTTCCCTAGTCTGCCCAAGCCTTGACCAAATCTGTCCTGGTCTTTTAGAAAATCAGTGATGTTATTTCCAAGTCAAGATCAACCGATTTGGGGCTCTGTGAGCAACTTGGATCACGTCCTGCCCAGTTTCTTATCCCGTTCCAGGTTTTAAAACACTGTTTATAAGAGAGGGAGTGGTGGATATGGGTGACACAAGCCAATGACGGCGAATGAGTCATTTAGATGCGAGTTATCATAACAGGTATGGTCACAAACCTGGACTTTATCAGGAAAAATGTGAAGAAGTAATTCAGAATATGACTCAGTAAGCCTCCTAGCTCTGTCCAGAGTAGCCTTGAGTCTCAAACCCCAAATGGACTTACTGTCCTCCTTCTCTGGCAAGATTTCCAGAAAAACAGACTAACTTTATTGCCAGTAGTGCCACTAGTACAATTAACAAGATAAAACCAAAAGAAAATTCCAATAATATTAACAGCAACAAAGGAACAGAAGTTACCATCTTCTTCAGGAAGACCCTTCTCCTTCCAAGCAAGTAGCTCATTTTCAATTGCCATATATTCCTTCGGCTGCCACCCAGAAAGCCCCATTTGCCGAATTCCAATGATAAGGGCAGCAAGGGGATGGTTCCAATAACCTACATTTTTTGAAGTTGCATTTTGGGAAAGCCAAGATGAACCACCAATAGTCTCAATAGCATTGAGGAATCTGTTAAAATGACCGAATTTAAGGCATGTACCACAGAACTGTTCCTAGAACAGTAGCAGCGAGAAGACTTGTAAATTCATTTCTATACGTTCCATCAAGTAAATATCACTTCAAAAAATCTAATAATGTCTGGGTGGTAGGATAGAAACAAATATTATCTGAGATGCATATCGTTCAATGTAATGAACCTTTAGCATGAAGCTCGGGATGAAGGAATTCACTGGTCATGTATTTGGTTATCTATTTCTACAGATGCCTGCTTAGCTCCATGTCATAAGTTCTGGAAAGAGCAGATTTGAAGTTTGAAGACCTTACGGACTAGAATCTTCTTTCTGACATATTTTACCTTGGTGCAAGCATAGAACTTGACTTGAGATTTGAAGGACTCAGACACCACACCCCCCCCCCACCCACCCACCACAAAAAAAAAAAAAACCAATCCCCAGGTAGGCCCCCCTCCTTCTTTCCCCCATCTTTAATAATATGTGAAGATTAAAGAATCACGATCACAATGCAAAGGGTTTTTCCTGTTGACAAAGCTTCTTTAAAAAATTCTCCAAACAATGGGGAAATTATTGAAAGGCCCCTCTGGCTGGCTCCCCAATACAGCAATTAAATAGAATTAATGTGAAGCATCATATTGTTTGGGAATCATAATTACCCGAAATAAAAAAGAGAGTATTATTCAATTATCTCAAAAGACATATTGCAAGAAAATTCTAGAAAGATTTGAAATGGAAAATTGTTAGCCCATATTAACCCCCATTGATAAGAAGACCAAGCTTAGCCTAGCCATGTGTCCCACTACTTCAAAAGAAAAGGAAGCCATGCAAAGAATTCTATACAGAAGTGTATTTGGGTCACTAATGTATGCTATGTCAGGAACAAGACCGGATCTAACTTTTGCCATGAGTTTGATTAGCAAATTCGAGAGTATTCCAGGCATGGAGCACTGGAAAGCCATCAAAAGGGTACAACGATATTTGCACGGAACCATTAATTACGCACTAACTTATGGAGGAGGCTCAGATATATAGATACAAGAATATTAAGATGAGAGTAAGTCTACATCCGGATATATTTTCATGCTTACAAGTGGAGCTGTTTCTTGGTGCTAAAAGAAACAAGATATTGTTGTACTCTCGACTACGGAGTCAGAATATGTGGCATGTTGTTTCGTGGCGAAAGAAGCAATCTGGTTGAACAAGTTCTTGGATCAACTCAAATTTGTTCCAGTGAAGTGCCCATGAGTCATAATCTTCTGCGACAACCAGGAAGCTATTTGCGTGTCGAAAGAGCCAAGGTTTCACAAAAAATCAAGGCACATAAAGCTGCGCCACTACCACATCCACATCGAGATCTGAGCAAGAGAGATTTTGATTGCACATCTCCGGACCTAGGCTACGTTAGCAAATCCTTTTAAAAGAAAGATTGGTGGCAAATGTTTTTGCCAGACATATACATGGGATGGGCTTGAGAGAATTGTGAGGGAGTGATTGTATGCCTTCAAAGGCTAAGTGGGAGATGTTGGGTTTTTTTGTAGCCTTTAAAAGCTTAGAGAGCTTGTAAAAATATTATTTATCGTGGAATATGCACTTCAGTGAGAGAGTGTGTTGACTGTTAACTGACTAAATGTTGGGCAGTTTATGGCTGTGGTGATGTCCAAAACCCTTGGCCCTGAGATTGTGACACTACCGAGAAGGGTTTGCAGTGGGTCATCCCTTGTTTAGGTCATAGAGATGCCCAGGGATCATGTTTGTAGGCCAGACGAACTGTGTGGTCTATTATGTGCGATTGTAGACCTGTGAGAGCAAAGGCCAAAGCCTCAACAAACATGGCATGCACACATGACAGTCGCATTGCTGGGAAACAACCCTATAGAGGGACATGTGTACATATGCATAGAGAATCCCCTTTCACTATAGTGAAAAGTGCAATACTTACTCTTAAAGGGGGAACTGAAATCTACATTTTAGAATCACGGGTCATGTCCAAGTTTGACAAGCCAATCATGAGCTCCTAAATTGAGATTGTGGGTCATGGGTCTTGTTGGGTCGGATAAGAAGGCAGTATTGGATCATGGTTTCTAAAGCGAGAGGAATGCTCTTAATGTCACTAATTTTGACTCATTGGTACTAGTCCACTCCTATTATATTTTATTTTAGCATTAAATTTTTTTATGATTTTTAAAAGCATTTCAGAATTTTAAAACATTATTTTTTAATGTAATTTACATCACAAGGGTATTTATGAAATTTCATATTTTAAATAACACATGTGGGACCAAGGATCCAGCCCCATATGCATGTGTCCTTTTTTAAAGTGTGGGATGATGTGCCACCGAAGGGACCATATTCATTTTTTTTTGTAAAACAAAAAGTGGGTACGCCACTTTTTTATGGAAAAGTGGGCATGCTCCATTGTATTAATAAAATATGTTATTTCAAATTTTTATATAGTGTCATGCCACTTTATTTGGGAGATGGGGGGTGGGGGTGGGGGGGGGGGACACGCAACTTTTTTTTTTAATTAAAAAAAAAAGCCCCACGCCACCTTTCAAGGGAGAAAGAGGGGCACACCCCACTCCTTTCAATTTTGGTTTAAAAATATTAACATAAGTTAAAATAGGAAAACCTAATTCAAATTAGATTTGGTTTCCTATCCTTATGGGAGATCTATGATAAAGATTGATTATTTTTCAATTTTAAATAGGAGTTGACTTGGGTCAAAGTCTAAAAGGATAAGGTTCCTATGTTCTTTTTTTTTTTGTTTATAATGTTAACCTTAATAGGGTTTCTATCTTTCTACCCAAAATCATGATGACTGATTTTTGGGATGGATGACTCAAGTTAAATCTCTCTCACCTAACAGATTTCCTAATTATCCTAAAGGTCTAGCTAGAAACTGAATAAGGCGATACTTAGAAATGATCCTATTCAAATTACGAAATAGATTTCCTTCTATTAAGAGATCTAGTTTGAACCTCTTTCAAAGACAACTAGATCCCCTCTCTCTCTCTCTCTCTCTCTCTCTCTCTCTCCTACACACACACACACACACTACTACGTACGACGTACGTACGTACTACTACTCTCTCCTCTTCTCTCTACTACTCTACGTACTACTACTACTACGTAACTAACGTAAGTAAGTAA